TTTGCGATAATATGCCAATGCATTTATGAATAAAACAAACAATTTTGGAACAGTCATCATACATATGTGGGCTAGTCTTTGGAAAATTTATTAAGGATAAAATAATTTAATAGTAATATTTATGATTATATATATGTGTGTGTGTCTGTGACACCTAATTGGGTTGTCAGTAATGAGAGTTTAGCTAAATTAAAGCCAGATGAATCCTTTTTTGTACTAAAATGATTCGGCTCCAGACTGCCTTCAAATTGGCGACACACAAGTGCTTGCTGCATAAAAAATTTATAAAGTAATAAATGTATTCATTTTTAAGTTGTTAAATTGAATAATTTTACCTTGAACTGAATCTGAACCATGGTAAAGAAATGATATCGCGATCGCTGAAATCGTTGTGCTCGAGTATGGTATGCAATGCGTATCTTCTTGACAACATATAAGATACTCTCCAAATTTTCAATTTCTGTTTTAAGATTATCAAGCAATGAGGACAGCTTGTCTTCTACTTCCTCGCTGTTTAAATTCATCAATTCGTAATGTTTTATCTTTGCTTTATATCGATTTATATTATCACGAATTCTCTCTTCAAAATCAAATCTTCAAATCACGAGCTGTACTTGGTAATTCCTAAGACGCCGTGTCAACTTCGCTTTCTTATTAATTACGTCGAGAATTACTTGTTCGCTTTGAGCTTCTTCGTCAGCTTGAGCTTTACGTTCGTTGATTTCACGCAGTTGACTTTCCAAGACCTTAGGCTCCTCTTTTTATCGATCTTCTCACCACTGGTCGTCAAGAGAGTTTCCTAAAAAAGAAAAAAAAAAGAATATTAAATTATTTAAGGAGAAACAGCTTCGGACTGACTTACCAGCACATAAAGATCGGGTAATTCGCGATATTCGAAATGCTCTATATCCATAATTCTTTGCAACGCCTCTGTGTTTTGTGTGTGATGTGCATTAATCATATTACTTTTAGTGCTTATCTCCTTTGTGTCACTGTCCAGCTTATGCTTAGCCTTGGCATACACCGGTTGAAGGATTGCTGCACGCTCTCGAAGACTTTCCTGCTCTGTCTTCAGCTGCCGAATGCGATCATCCACATTGACCTGAATAAAGGGCACATGGAGTTCAAGGCATAGTTGGGCGATAGCGAATACTCCAGCCCCAAATTGGGCACCAAAATGCGCGTTAAATTGGGCGGCACATTTTCCGAGATCGACGTAAGCGATTCGGCTATATCTTTGGAATCGGTAACCAAGACCGTCTCAATGCGCATCGTAACAATTAGATAGTCCATTACGACAGGATCATCGCATCTGTTAATAAAAAATAAAGATTACTCAAACGTTTAAGGCTTAAACACGTAAAAAACTCAACTTATCTCGTCCATCAGCACGCTCGTATTTTGCACTTTGTACTTGGATACGTTGTAAATCCGGTTCGAAAACGCACTCGTGATGATAGTAGGTATATTCCCACCGGCATAAGATTCTTGCAGCAGAGCTCTCAGAGATACGTTCTCCTTGTCGGTGCTAACAATATACGAGCGCAGACAATGGAGCCAGTTGATTCTCGATCAGATCTGGATACTTGGGATTTGGCACAATTATGTACATGCCAATAGGTCCACGTGGCATTCTGTGCGCATTGCTGCCACTGTACTTAACGCTCAATGCATTGGACACTTGCATTGCGTGCTCCCCATACACGGACATTTTGTTCGATTTGTTGCTCAGCATAATTCCATTTCCCATTGCAGGCTTTCTGAAATTTTAACAGCAACAAAAGATTAACTTTTGTTTTGGATTGTTTAAAAACATTTTTACGTACGCTAAGTTTTGCGCAATTTGCTCAGCTCATTTTTGACGGACTCTACCTGCTCTATAGTGGCACGCATTCGGTTCTTTGTACTGTTCCTGCCTCAACTGAACTGTCATACCTTAATTGCCTCTTTATTTTTAATTAATGCCAACTTTTCCTCTTCTTCGTGGCACAGTTTTTTCAACTTTTCCTTTTTCTGCACAGACAAAGTAATTATTTATTTATAGGTATTGTGTTTTTAAATAAAGATTTACTTTTTTTTAGCAGCTCCATCTCGTAATTAATATGCTCGCGCTGCTCGTGGCACTGAGTCAAGCTGGCCGCGCATAAATCCAGCTGTGTCGCCTTCATAAGCAATTTATAGTTTGATGCCGGCTCCAGGCTGTAGGTTAGGGTTTCATAATATTATTTTAAATTGAAATCTTGAACTTGTAATTAAGTATACCTACTCTTTGAGAAATTCGCACGAAGCTTCCTGATTGAGCACAAAGATCGGATTCTCAACACTTATGCCAAATTGAAGCAACAGGCGTCGTATTTTGTCCAGTTTCTTGGAAACGCATCTGTTCTGAGCATATTTGGCGTACGACCGTAATGTGTGGACCATAAACGTCGTACTTGGCGCGACTTGTGTTGCGTGCATTGCCGGCTAGCCCTAATGCAAGGGCCGCTACCATTGCTGCCAACAAGAAAATTGATATGTGGTCAAAGTTTATGGTTAAATTCGAGTGGCACATAAAATTTCTTAAACGTATGGAAATAATTTTTCCGCAACGCTGGAAAACGTGTCGAGTCGTCAGTCCATGCTATAAAAAATAGACTTATGTTAATTTTATTTTAAACAGAACTAATGTAAATCAGTGAGTTACCGAGGGAAATATATATAACTACATAAATAGTAATAAATTTAATTAATAAGAATATTTGTTTACAAATGGTAAATTTCGGCGTCAGAATTAAAAGTGCCGCTATGTTAGGGGCTGCCAACTTATGTAGAAAGCTAACCTATGGGAACATAAAGATGCCACCTTATGAAAATAAGTAATAGTACACATGACGATGAATATTTTGTTATATATATATATATATATATTAATATATATATATATATATTTATATAAAGTAACTATTCTACAATTTGGGTCATTATCTATATATATATATAAATATAGAAGCAAATTATAGATTTTTATTGTGAGCCTAATTACAAACTATTTATTCATCGCCATGTATAAAACAAGTGACAGATATTTTAATTATTCACTTATTGCTAGACTTTTAATAGGTTGGCAGGGTCTAATATAACGGCGCTTTTGTTTCCAAGAAAACGGCGCAAATCCCATTCGGCGCCAACTAGCTTTTATATTATTTTTTGTTAGGAAATTCTGAATATTAATAAAGTTATTTTTAAGGTTTTTTTTTTATTTATTGTAAACAAATTAAACATTTTCTTCGTATATATAATACGTCATACTTTGCTGCTGCTGTATCCACGGCTGTTGCGGCTGCATCAACTGCTGTTGCGGCTGCATCAACTGCTGTTGCGGCTGCATCAACTGCTGTTGCGGCTGCATCAACTGCTGTTGCGGCTGCATCAACTGCTGCTGCGGCTGCATCAACTGCTGTTGCGGCTGCATCAACTGCTGCTGCGGCTCCATCCATGGCTGCAGCGGCTGCATCAACTGCTGCTGCGGCTGCATCAACTGCTGCTGCGGCTCCATCCACGGCTGCAGCGGCTGTATCCACGGCTGCGGGTGCTGCGGCACCCATATCTGCGGCACCCGCGGCTGAGGCATCTGCGGTGGCTCCTGCTGCTGTGGCATCTGCGGCAGCAGAGGCGGCTCCTGCTGTTGCATTGGCGGCTGTGGCACCTGTGCCGGCTGTTGCATCTGCGCCGCCTGTTGCATCTGCGGCGCCTGTCGCATCTGCGGTGGCTGTCGCATCTGCGGCGGCTGTTGCATCTGCGGCTGAGGTACACGCCTCTGCTGCGATAACTTCGCCACTTCTTTTTTAATGGCGTTAATTTGCCTCTGCTGCGCCCTAATTAATTTTTGTTGCTGCTCGACTTTGTTTACAAGAGCAGCAAAGTACGAGGGCTGTCGAGGTTTAAAAGTTTTCTTTTTTTTAATATTTGGAGAACCCGCCATTAAAAAGCCCACTCGTTGGTATCTCATTTTAAAATATTGCCACCATTTGAAATATGTTGCAATATTGCCACCATACCACAT